GGCCCGGCCCGGCCCCGGCGCTGCGGCTGAGTCACCTCCGGTACGAGGCGCGGCCGGGGACCGATCCGATCCTGCACCCGTTCACCGCAGGTGCAGATGCGCCCGTTCACCGCAGGTGCCGGTGCGCGGACCGCGCCCCTCGGGACCGGAGCCGGAGTGGCCGGCACTGGAGACCCGGCCCATCCGGGTCACCGCCCTGCCAGGGGCCCGCCCCGGGGGCGTGGCCTAGGCCCGCCGCGCGTGCGCAGGAGGTCAAGAACCACAGAGCCAAGGCGGTGGTGGTCACGATTCCATTCAAACGCCAGTGACGTCACCGACGTCAGCCCAGGGCCCCGCCCTCCGGGCCCACCCCGCGTCCCTGCGTCCCTGAGACCCCCGAGACGGGCGACCCCAGCCCGGGGGCTGGTGGGAGGGGGCGGGGGATGGAAGGGGGGCGCCCGAGCTCCCCGACTGGGTCAGGCGCCGGCCGCACGCCTGCAGCCCCGGCCGCCCAGGCCGCGCTCCGCTCTCCAGGCCAGGTCAGTCCCCGCTCCGAAGCGGGACGGGGCTGTGGCTCAAGCTGGTGGGGGGGGGGGCCGAGGCCAGCGCCCGGGCTTCGAGTTCAAGTCCCAGGACTGGCACAGCAAAACACCCCGCGTGGGGCCCGGGCCGGCAGGTCACGCCGGGCCGCGCCCCGCGGCATCCCGGAGAAGCGGCAGACCCGAGGACGGGCCCGGGCGGCGGGGCTCCGGCGGGCGCGCAGGAGTGCGCTCCTATCTCAGGGAGCTGTCAGATGACAGGTCTCGATCGGAGTCCTCCGCCTCGCTCGCAGGCGGCGGCTCGCTAGGCGCGACCGCACCGAACGCAGGAGACTTTCTAGAAGAAAACAGCGGCGGTCACGGGCCGGCGGGAGACCCGTGGGGGGGCCGCGGCGGGGCGCAGGGGTCCCCGGGGCGGGCGGGCGGGGCTCACCGGTCCCCCGACTGCGTGATGAGGCGGCGGCAGGTCTCCATCTGCACGTCCAGGCCGCGCTTCATGCTGCACATCTCCATGTACTCGTGCAGGTGCCGGTTCATGTCGTTCTTGGCCGTGGCCAGCTCCAGCTGCGGGCGGGAGGTTCGGGCTGGGGTCGGGGCGGGCGGGGCAGCGGCGGGGCGCGAAGGCCCTGCGCGCACGCACACACGCATGCACACGCACGCGCGCACGCACACTTGCACGCAGGGGGAGGCAAGCAGCTCGAACCCGGACTGGTTTTCCTAGCGGGAAAGTGGGGCTGGTGATGAGCTCTGGAAGTTTCCACGCGGGGCAGGGCCCCACGGCGCGGGGCAGGGCGGGAGGCCGCGCGGGGCTGGGAAGTGGGTCACAGCACAAAGGGCGCCGCGTTCCCGGGGCAGCCGGGCAGGACGCGCGGACGCGCGGCCGGGCATCGCGGCCTCCCCGGCCCGGCCCGCCCCGAGGGAAAGGAAGACAAACGGCTCCGCCGCCCGCCATCCCGGCTGCTCCGGAGGCTGAGATCCGCAGGATCGCGGTTCGAAGCCAGCCCGCGCAGGGAAGCCTGTGAGGCTCTGACCTCCAGTGGCTCAGGGACAGCAGCGCCCGGCGCCGGCCCGAGCCCAGGACTGACAGCAGGGCCACCGGGGACGGAGGCCCCGCCCTGCTCAGAAGCCCAGCCGCTCGGGAGGCCGAGGCCGGAGGACCACAGTTCGAAGCCAGCCCCGGCAGGAAAGTCCGTGAGCCACAGAGAACAGCGGAAGAGGCGCTGTGGCTCAAAGGGTAGAGCGCCAGCGTTGAGCCGCAGAAGCTCAGGGGCAGCGCCCAGGCCCTGAGTTCAAGCCCAGGATGGGGAAGGAAGAAGGAGGGAGGAAGGGAGGAGGGGGGAGG